GTCCCAATTACAGAAGGAAGTATTGTCATCTTTTGCAACTAATATTTTAGCTTTTATGAGGGATGAAAAATATTCCCTTTGTCTTGTATGTACTTTTAGTGCTCCCTAGACAGATTGGAGCCCCCCCTTGTGGTCAGTGAAGCCGAAACATCTGCGTTTCTCTTTTAAGCTTCAGGGAAGATGGCAGAGTCTTGATTACGTATAGGTGACAAAATCTTATAAGCACCCAGGTGCCACTTCCAGAGGTGGCTAGCGATCCCTCAGATGCTAATTTGGTGACATCTGTCTTCTGAATACCTTATTTCTTTAATGACAAGGAAATGAATCTAAATTTACGGATTACATATTGCTACAGGGTCACATTTCAGCTACTCAAATCTGTACATTTCAGTCACACAATAAAGCCCCCACACACATCCTCGCATACAACCAACTGGCCCGGGGTTCGTGGCGATGTGACCCTTGTCCCCATCGACATGCGAGACAAGTTGCTTTTGTGGGGGCCCCTGACCTCAAGAGTAACCACCCCATGTTGAGGGGTGTGTTACCTAGGTATGGTTCAGGAGAAAGGTGGGCACTCACTAAGGCTCTGGTATTGATTTTTGCAGGGGAAACCCACGCCATTTTTTATATTATTTTGGCACCTGGAGTTTCCCTAAAAAGCAGACATGTCAACAGCTGTCAATATTCGCCTTCTTGCTTTACTGGTTGTTGAGGACTACTGGCGGCTGCCCTCTCCTTAACAACATGCTATTTACAAGTGTTGCCTAAAGGACACCAGGTGGTAAAATTACCGCCAGGATTCACAATGACTAAAATAACAGCATGCAGTATCTATACTTCATACTGGGATACACAAGGGAAGATACTGCTTTGGTGATTGGAGCCCATTAGTCTTCCTACAAGTCCATGTTCTGACTTCTCCATCCACCCAACCTTGTTAATAGTGAGGATGGGGAGGTATGTTTGTGGTGACATGCTCGCTGTCACCGCTGACTCGGAAAGAAAAGCTCCGCTCCCAATGAAGACTCCCCTCTGTCTGACAGCTCTGCTACCTCCTGCCACTAAATATACTAAGGGACGGTGCCACTCGGTGATGTCACTGACCGGGGCATGTTGTATTGGTGACGTCACTGACCAGGGCATGTTGTATTGGTGATGTCACTGACCGGGGGGCATATATTGTATTGGTGACGTCACTGACCGGGGCATGTTGTATTGGTGACGTCACTGACCGGGGGCATGTTGTATTGGTGACGTCACTAACCGGGGCATGTTGTATTGGTGATGTCACTGACCGGGGCATGTTGTATTGGTGACATCACAAGAGGGCAAAAGGAGGGCCACCCAGTGACATCACAGGGTTGTAGCGCTCCTTAGTTTTATTTAGAAGTGGGAGGCGGCGGAGCTGTCATATGGCAGGAGGGGAGCTTTGTTTTTTCTTTGAGTCAGCAATGACAGCGAGTATCGAGTATCGTGATTGGATCATCGATAAATCTACATCAGGCGGACATTTTTCTTTATTTTTGTTTTGTCAAAAATTTCTTCCAGTGTTTTTTTTTACACTACACTGTTTGGTGAATGAATAGGGGTACTATGTACTCTATACTCATTCACATTGTGGGGGGCCGGGATCTTGAGGCCTCCTTGTTAAAGGTGGCTTCTAGATTTTAATCTGTCACATGTTCACCCAGATGCCACACCCACAGCGACTAGCTAACCAAGGTGGGCACGTGCGGCCGTGACTTGGGGTAAGAGGAAGTAAGGGGAACTTACCTGTGAATGTATCTACGTATATAAGACCGTCCGTGACATACTTTCACAGCCCATACTACCTCTTGGCCACCACCGGGGGGAGACTTTACTCCAATCCAGATGGCTGACCACACACTGGCAGATACAAATCTTACATACAATCTGATGCACTAACTATTGTTGAGGAGCAGCCTAGCAATCACACACCCTTCTAGGATTCCTCCATCTATCCTACAAGCCAGAACCCCGATGTTAATCACTCTTCCACTGTCCACACACCCCCACACCAGACACACCACAAACGGTAGCTGGCCACCACCCAACAGTTTATCCGCAGAACGGTCTGCTGGGACACCCCACACACACAGATCTCCGTCTGGCAGATCTGTTACCTTTTACAATCTGCACGCAATTTGCAAACACACAGAGCAATTGCATATAGATTGGCAATGAGCTTGTACGAGCGTATAAAGACACTAAAATACAATACAATCTAATCTCTCCAATCTGATCTCTCCAATCTGATCTCTCCGGAGATATGAGCCCGAGCTTAAATACACAGAAGTCACTTATTAATTTTAAGATTTAATATCCCGAAAGTGGGCAGTGCATAAATATGTACAAAGTATAAAGAGTTACAGAAGATACATAAAATACAAGAAGACACACATATTCACTGTAAAATAAAAGGGAATAAAAAGCAGAAATTAAACTTTTACCAAGATTTATTCTGTGACTGGAGCAAGTCAGAGAAAGTCCACAATCCGTCAGTCAATAGGACGCGCTCCATACGAATCACACTGTCCCAATGTACGGGTCCTCAATTTATGGGGATATGGACGTGGGCTGGACATTAGTTCTTGGCCAATCGACTCTGAGGGGTGTTCCTGTACCCGCCCACAGGCTGTTCTGGGTGCTGAACTGCCCAAAGTCAATTGGACCAAGACCGGTTTGAATCACCAAGTCGGGGATTGAATTTCCAACACCAGTGCATCGGTCCGATCGCGACAATACCAATCACTGTTCCGCTATCCACTCCAGCACCACATAACCATTTTCTGCATTTTTCTGGAATTCTACATAGTCCACAAATATAGTTTTTATATGCCGATGCAGCCTACACAGTGTCCCATCAGAAGGAAGTATTGTCATCTCTCTGCAACTAATATTTTAGCTTTTATGAGGGATGAAACATATTCCTTTGATCTATGTATGTACTTTTAGTGCTCCCTAGACAGATTGGAGCCCCCCTGGTGTCATGAAGCCGAAACATCTGCGTTTCTCTTTTAAGCTTCAGGAAGATGGCAGAGTCTGATTACGTATAGGTGACAAAATCTTATAAGCACCCAGGTGCCACTTCCAGAGGAAGCTAGGTCCCTTCAGATGCTAATTGGTGACCATCTGTCTCTGAATACCTTATTTCTTTAATGACAAGGAATGAACTAAATTTACGATTACATATTGCTACAGGTCACATTTCAGCTACTCAAATCTGTACATTTCAGTCACACAATAAGCCCCCCACCCACATCCTCCCACAACCACTGGCCAGGGTTGTGGCGATGGGACCCTTGTCCCCATCGACATGGAGACAAGGTGCTTTTGGGGGGGCCCCTGCCCCAAAGTAACCACCCATGTTGAGGGTGTGTTTACCTGGTATGGTTCAGGAGAAAGGTGGGCACTCACTAAGGGTCTGGTATTGATTTTGCAGGGGAACCCACGCCATTTTTTAAATTATTTTGGCACCAGGGTTTCCCTAAAAATCAGACCTGTCACAGCTGTCAATATTCGCCTCTTGTTTACTGGTTGTTGAGGACACTGGCGGCTGCCCTCTCCTTAACAACAAGCTATTTACAAGTGTTGCTAAGGACACCAGTGGTAAATTACCCGCAGGATTCACTACTAAAAAACAGCATGCAGTATCTTACTACATACTGGGATACGGGAAGATACCGCTTTGTGATTGGAGCCCATAGTCTCTACAAGTCCATGTTCTAGATTCTCCATCCCACCAACCTTGTAATAGTGAGGGATGGTGTGACCTTCCTGTGTGGAATCCTGGGAATACAGAGGACGGGGACATCTCTCTGGGGGTTCCTGGTATTAGGTGGCTCCATCATATCCTTGTGTCCTTCTGAAAACTCCTCCATCACTCCATACTCCTCATCCTCCTCTTTATATACTCTTCTTTAACATCAATATTATCATCCCCGAGGATTCCACTCTGAAAGATATAATAAAACATTCATTGTAACAAACATGCTGTGTATAAATCACAACTACCAATAATTGTCATCATCTACCTGATGATGGTGAGGGATGGTGTGACCTTCCTGTGTGGAATCCCGGGAATACAGAGGACGGGGACATCTCTCTGGTGGGTTCCTGTAGCTGGATGACTCCACCATGGTGTCCTGGTACAGATCTTTGTGTTCTTTTAGAAGCTCTGACTCCTCCATCCCCCCATCCTCATCCTCCTCCTCTTTTATCTCTTCTTTAACCTCAACTTTAGGATCTCTCAGGTTTCCACTCTGAATATATAATAAAAATGTCATCAATGGTAACAATGCAGATAATGTACAGATCCTAATGATACTATCAGTGATTGTTCCTCATCTACCTGATGATGGTGAGGGATGGTGTGACCTTCCTGTGTGGAATCCCGGGAATACAGAGGACGGGGACATCTCTCTGGTGGGTTCCCATGACTGGATCCATCTGTAGGAAACACACACACTGACTGAATCCATTGTTTCTATGTGTTTATCAGATGATGGGGGATCTAGGTGGATCCTCCGTACTGCTCTCTCCTTTACAATAAAGTCTCCTCTTACCCGGTGATGTGAGGGGCGGCTGATTGTCCATCATGACGTCCTTGTAGAGATCCTTGTGTCCTTCTAAATACTCCCACTCCTCCATGGAGAAATAGACAGTGACACCCTGACACCTTATAGGAACCTGACACACACAATGATACAGTCACCATCCAGACACATCCCTTGTCTGTTACTGGAGAATGTCCCAGAATTCCCGGCACCGCTCACCTCTCCTGTCAGCAGCTCAGTGATCTCTCTGGTGACTTCTAGAATCTTCTTCTTCTTTCTCTCTTCTATCAGGGAGGGAGGTGGAGGCAATGTGATGTCATATGATCTCCAGACTTCACAGGAGGAAAACTCTACATCTGAACACAAATAGTCACATCAAATGATATTCCCAGAATCCTCCTCACCTCTCCATTCAGGTCTCCATTTTATTAAAGCCCCACTTCAGGCTGAGGTATAATTCCCCCCCACAGGACCCCCACATAACTCAGGGTAAAGCTTGGCATAAGCAGTTCTGATGTCATTACATATAACAGGACAAACAGTCCCACTGTGTTAGTGAGAATAACAAGTACCTGCTGACATCCTAAGAACATAAAAAACTAGAAAAGCTACAATTTCTGGGGAAATTGTGTGAAGTGTTCTTGCCTCCACCAGTAGTCTACAACTAGAGTGGGTGGAGTAACTGGGTGGAGTGGGCGGAGTAACTGTTGTGTGGTTGGAATGGCTGGAGTAACTGTGAAAAATCATGTCCTGAATTTTCAGCTCCCACTCTAGTTTTGAACATTCCGCCATTCATTCCTATGGGACCAATTTCACCACAAATACGGCGATATTTTGTGAACCGTTCGGCAAAACGTTCCACAAAGTAATAGCACACCAATCGGAACAATCCGCACGTTTCGGTATATTACTGTCTATGTAGTGTAACAACTGTGGGAGGAGTTAGGGGGGTAAATTTGGCTATAATAATAAGAATATATATGTGAGATAACAGGAAGTGGTCGCCCTGCAAGAACACTTAAAAAAGAATGGAGGGACTTAAAAAGGTCAGTGTGATCATAGCCAGACGGAGGGACTTTGGGAGGAGGAGCTGTGAGGAGATGTCATAGGATTATCTGACTCTGGATGGGAGGGACATTGGGAGGAGGAGCTGTGAGGTCAGTGTGATGTCATAGGATTCTCTGACTCTGGATGGAGGGACATTGGGGGGGAGGAGCTGTGAGGTCAGTGCGATGTCATAGGATTCTCTGACTCTGGATGGAGGGACATTGGGGGGGAGGAGCTGTGAGGTCAGTGTGATGTCATAGGATTCTCTGACTCTGGATGGAGGGACATTGGGGGGGAGGAGCTGTGAGGTCAGTGTGATGTCATAGGATTCTCTGACTCTGGATGGAGGGACATTGGGGGGGAGGAGAGGAGCTGTGAGGTCAGTGTGATGTCATAGGATTCTCTGACTCTGGATGGAGGGACATTGGGAGGAGGAGCTGTGAGGTCAGTGTGATGTCATAGGATTCTCTGACTCTGGATGGAGGGACATTGGGAGGAGGAGCTGTGAGGTCAGTGTGATGTCATAGGATTCTCTGACTCTGGATGGAGGGACATTGGGAGGAGGAGCTGTGAGGTCAGTGTGATGTCATAGGATTCTCTGACTCCGGATGGAGGGACATTGGGAGGAGGAGCTGTGAGGTCAGTGTGATGTCATAGGATTATCTGACTCTGGATGAGGGACATTGGGAGGAGCTTTGAGGTCAGTGTGATGTTATGGGATTCTCTGACTCCGGATGGAGGGGACATTTGGATGGGGAGATTTGAGGGGTCCTCTATATGAGGCTCTCATGCAAACCAAATCCTTGTTCCTGGGTGCGTCCTACCTCTCCTAAACTGAAGAGTGACCTTTGACCTTTACCATCCAGAAATCTGTCCGGAATCTGTGGAAGTAAGCTGTCATGTGATCAGGTGACGTGCGGAGGAACGGAGTGTAAATAGCAGACAATTGTCTCCAGAGCTCCCTGTGACGGAAGCGTAGGCAGGACAGAACACACAAAGAAGACGGGGAACACACAAAAACTTTACTGAACTCTGAAAGACACTCAATCCGGACAGTTCATGGCACTCCGCAACATGTGGCTCATAGGGACACCCACGGTAAGCGGGCTCACAGGGACTCAACGGGAACTTGGCTGTGGCATTTGGCCTCAACACAGCTCCTACACAACGTACTAGGGACAACAGCTCACGGGGACTCAATGGGATTCCAGCTGTGGAATCTGGCCTAGCACAGCACCCACCCAGCTTTCTAGGGACATTGGGCTCACAGGGACTCAACGGGACTCTAGTTGTGGAGTTTGGCCTAGCACAGCACCCACCCAGCTTTCTAGGGACATCGGGCTCACGGGGACTCAACGGGACTCTAGCTGTGGAATCTGGCCTAGCACAGCACCCACCCAGCTTTCTAGGGACATCGGGCTCACGGGGACTCATCGGGACTCTAGTTGTGGAGTCTGGCCTAGCACAGCTCCCACCCAGCTTTCTAGGGACATCGGGCTCACGGGGACTCAACGGGTAGTGATGGCTCAAGCACTCAGGGGCATCACAGGTAGCTATACTCCCACCCAGCTTTCTACACCACGGGGGTAGGTTCAGGGGCAGTAAGGGTAGTCTCGACGTGCAATAGGGCAGTTCATGACACGAGTAGTCGGTGTGCACACCAGAGGGGTCACTACACAGAAAATCAATCCAAGGAAACAACAGGCAGGACGAGGAATAGCAAGAAGGAGCTGAGAGACAAATGAGAATATTGCTCAGCCAATGGGAGATGATCTCAGCATGACTTCCATCATGAAGGAGATGAGGGGGAGGGGAGGAAGTCACTGAAGGTGACCATAGATCCATGGAAATTCAGCTGGTTCAGCAGGGATCGCTCACATTTCCATCCATGTGTGGCCACTGCCGGATAAAAGCCACTCCCCCAGTGACTGCAGCCAATAGCTTCAGGTGCTGATCTGTGTATTCTGAGAGCGGAGGAGTCCCCCCATTGTCAGAATACAAGAGTGCAGCAGGGAGGATTCCCCCATCCACCTCCAATGTGTGGATGGGGGAATCACTTCAGTTTTTATGGTCATCCCGCTGGCTGAACGATAAAACTGAACCATGTAGGCCAGCTTTGGGAGCAAATATATTATCATCAACTCCTCCCCCTGAAGGGGTTCATCTGGGTTCCCACAC